TCCAAGTCTTTAATTTTGTTTTTAATGATTTGTTCAAGTTTTGAAATGTCTTCGGCTACAACTTTTCTTGTAGAATCAAATTCTAAATCTAATCTTTGATGATCGTTATGATCTTTTAAAATACATTTAGAACACAATCCTAAATTACAAGTTTGACAATAATATTCTACCTCCTTTTTACTGTGATTTGGACAATGATGTTTTGGTTTAAGACTAGCTGAGGGTTGGGTTGTAAGAGAATTCGTCAATGTTTGTAAAGCAAAATTTGTAGCTAACTTGTCGACACCACCTTGTGGAATTGTAACATCCTGTTTACAAAGTGGACATGGAAATGTCCCCCTTCTACCTTCAATACAGCTCACCAAACACTTGAGACAAAACGAATGTCCACACGATAAGATTTTGGGGGTTATGAAACTTTCGTAACAAATACAACATTCCAGATCGGGATTATTTGGTAAAGCAGCCGCCATGATAAATTGTTAAAAAAGTTTTTATTTCATATCTTCCACAGATAAACAGAATGATTTCACTATGTTATGGTATATTATCTTTCACTAGAAATATTGAAATATAGTTATATATACCTTCCACAGACAAACAAAATGATTTCACTATGTTATGGTATATTATCTTTCTCTAGAAATATTGAAATATAGTTTTATATACCTTCCACAGACAAACAGAATGATTTCACTATGTTATGGTATATTATCATTCACTAGAAATATTGAAATATAATTCTATATACCTTCCACAGACAAACAGAATGATTTCACTATGTTATGGTATATTATCCTTCACTAGAAATATTGAAATATAATTCTATATACCTTCCACAGACAAACAGAATGATTTCACTGTGTTATGGTATATTATCCTTCACTAGAAATCTTGAAATATAATTCTATATACCTTCAACAGACAAACAGAATGATTTCACTGTGTTATGGTATATTATCCTTCACTAGAAATATTGAAATATAGTTCTATATACCTTCCACAGACAAACAGAATGATTTCACTATGTTATGGTATATTATCTTTCACTAGAAATATTGAAATATAGTTCTATATACCTTCCACAGACAAACAGAATGATTTCACTATGTTATGGTATATCATCTTTCACTAGAAATATTGAAATATAGTTCTATATACCTTCCACAGACAAACAGAATGATTTCACTATGTTATGGTATATTATCTTACCTAGAAATATTGAAATATAGTTATATATACCTTCCACAGACAAACAGAATAATTTCACTATGTTATGGTATATTATCTTACTAGAAATATTAAAATATAGGTCTATATACCTTCCACAGACAAACAGAATGATTTCACTATGTTATGGTATATTATCCTTCACTAGAAATATTGAAATATAGTTCTATATACCTTCCACAGACAAACAGAATGATGTCACTATGTTATGGTATATTATCCTTCACTAGAAATATTGAAATATAGTTCTATATACCTTCCACAGACAAACAGAATGATGTCACTATGTTATGGTATATTTTCGTTCACTAGAAATATTGAAATATAGTTCTATATACCTTCCACAGACAAACAGAATGATTTCACTATGTTATGGTATATTATCCTTCTCTAGAAATATTGAAATATAGTTCTATATACCTTCCACAGACAAACAGAACGACTAACTGTGTTTAAATGGCTACCGGGATATTAAATGTATTGCTAGGTAACTGGTCATATCGAAGAAACATCTAAGAATGCAAGATAGTAAAAACAACGTAACCTCGTGTAATACAATTCAATTTCAATTCAATTCAATTCATTGTTAAGCACTATAATTCTTTAGCCCACATTAATATAAACATAAACATAATATACAGTATATAAATATATATAGAGAGGATTTTAAATTTAGTGTTTATGTCATATGGAATCTATGAAATGAGTTTCCAGATTTAATATTACCTGATACCTGACCTGAACACGAATTAAAGATTCTATTTGTCACATAAAACGATCATTAAACGAATATTTTCCTTACACCATTCTGCAAAATGTCCATGCTAGTAACAAATAAGATGTAGATAAACACATTTGTAATATTTTTAAATACGATACTCTATAATAATTCCACAATTGGACCTTACTCATACATCATTTATTTTACGTAAAAAAACATCAAAAAAACCTTTACAATTAACATCATGGAAGTATTGCATTTTCCCTCCATTACTCTAACTTTCTTAACTCGCTGACAGGAGAGCTACATATTACCTCCCTTCTTATTTCCAGCCTACATAAAACTTAGCTCATTAAAGAACAACATTCATGTGATAACTAAATCACCGCTCTAGAATGCAGGCTATGGTACAGTCAGATGGAGGTAACACAAAATAATAGATACCCTGAGAGAAACTTAAATAAATACCATTTCATCATCAATTTAATTTTTGTCCATATCGATTCTAATTTAGGCTATGGAGGAGGGGGCTCTAATTTCAAAACATTCGTCTATCATATTTCCAAGTTGAGTGCATTTTGTCTGTGATATAACGCACATAACCTATACCTAATTCAGTTTGATATATAACATTGTAAATACATTGAAAGAATATTGCTTTACAGTGTTGTCGTAAAGTTTAAAGAGACACTAAACAAAAACACAATAAAATACAATACAATGTATTTAATAGTTAAAGGTATGTCTATTGTACACAAATATATATATATATATATATAAAAAGATAAAGTACAAGTACTTGCTTTACTCACGGTAAAATATATAAGTAATTATGGTTGTCATCGATTCTTGGTAAAATGAAACACATTTTAATCCATTTTCGACAGAATAAGTTGTTATTTAATCCATATTCAATTCATATATACATAATATCTAAGCATGCTTATATATATCACTTTTTAATAGCCATAAAATAATAAGAAGAAAAAGATATCAAAAATATAGTTGGAAAATGATAAATATATATAAATGTGACAAATCTCGACCTGCTCGTATTAACAATTCAGACACCACGTGTTTCTTCCCTCTGAATCCAAAGCATATAATAATTTATAACAATGTTTGG